TACATGTAGTAAAATAATAATTACAGAGTGTACCACTAGAACGCCTAGCATGGCTAGGCATTTCGGGCAGACTTATATTAAATCTTAGGTTTAAAATGTTACAAAATTATGAGATAAGTTGGTATTATGGCTAAGTGACTAAATACTAGTTGTGAGTTTAGCAATGTGAATGCTTTTGTTTTGGCACTATACGTAGTTTCAGTATTGGAGTATCACAGGCCAACTTATGACTAGTTAAGATTCATTATTTTGAGATTGAGATTGATATTTCTGTTTATGGTCAAATGGGTGAGTGAGTGTAAGTGTGAACCACCAGGTGGTATTCGTATTATTAGTTGACAGGGTGTATCAGGGAGATAAGATGTTTTCTGATGGTAGTTTTGAAGGTGATGAATGTGTCTGCAGTTTTGGAATTTTCAGGTAAGTGCTTTTGTAAGTGTATTTTTGGGGGTCTGAAATGGACTAATCTAATTTACATTATTTCTTATGGGAACAAATTTGTTCGGTAACAGCACTCGAACAGCCTTCTGGAATGAAGAAAGTTCGAAACTCTGGGTACCACTGTACTTCATATTGTAAATTGTGCTTGATGATTGCTCAACTATTTAATCATTACTTCAAACTTAAAATTCTTTCAACTTTATTGTTTTATATTGTGCTAAATTGTAATACTGTATTTTTTATATACATCAAAACTCGAATTATTCTCTACCGAACTTACTAAAGCCATATAGTGTGAACTAGTCGAGTAGTATTCAATTTTCTTCTATTCACTGTAACTCACCTAATGACCATATATAAAATTACAGCACTGTTATTGCCTTATTAATCTTAAGTTAGTCTTAAGCTTGCCTGAAATGCTTTGCATATAAAGGGGCTTTTGGCATGTTCACCAAATTGTTACACTTTGTACAAACATGTATCATGCTAAAATAAACTTGTTATTGTCGGTTATCATGTTTCTTAGGCTTTCACTAAATGAATAAATATTTGAGTGAGGTACTCTGTAGATTGCTCCAACTGCTATAGTTTTTTTTTTAGGTTTTTGGGTTTAAATTTAACAAATATATATTCATCACTATTGCCAGTAGATTTAATACATTTGAGTTCATCAGAGTAGTAGATAGCTGTGCCACCCCCTAATTGTTCTGGCTTACAACTGTGTATGGCTGTGTAACCAGGTATGGCAAAAATGTTTGCAATGTCATGCTTTAGCCAGGTTTAGTGTTTGCTCAATGATCTGACATTATAATTGAATACTGTTATGTTATTGTTGGCACTGGATAAACATTCAGACTAAGAAATGAAAGAATAAGGTCAATACTCTTTGTAAAGAAATGGGACAACCAGTCAGAACAAGAGAAGTCAGGAGGTGGTATCAAAATACACCTACCATCCGACTTACGACCAAGTTCGGTTCCGAGAAACCGGTCGTAAGTCGAAATGGTCCTAAGTCGAACTTACTACTGAATATCAACAAAACATTTTTGTAATGACTTTATTTTATTGTTTTATTTTGGTATTTCATGTTTTACTTTACTTTTTATGTTGTTAGTACTGTATTTTATACTGTAAGGTTTAGAATAAACACTGTGTACAACACAAATAGTTGTTTATTTCCCAGAAATTTGGCATAAAAAACATGGTCGTAAGTCGGATGGTAGGTGTACAAGATAAACTGTACAAAGAAATCAGTATGGGAAAGAAAAAAACACTATATGAAAGTTTTGTAGGATATTATCATTTTCAGGGTTTCCGACGTACTAGTACGGCCTACGCACCAGGGTTATTGACGTACTAGAATGCCTAAATTCTAGCGCCTTCAAATTTAGCGAGAGAAAGCTGGTAGGTCTACATATGAAAGAATGGGTCTATGTGGTCAGTGTGCGCAGTATAAAAAAAATCCTGCAGCACACAGTGCGTAATGAGAAAAAAAAAATTTTGACTGTGTTTTTGGATTAAAACAGCGACTTTGCAGTGTGTTTTCGTATGGTATTTATGGTTGTATTCTAGTTTTCCTGGTTTCATTTTATAGAATGGAAGGCATATTACAAAAATTGAGATGATTTTGATTGGTTTCACAATGAAGAGTACCTTGAACTTGAGGTCAAAGTAGCAGAAATGTTTGATTTTTACCAAAGTTCAAAAGTAAACAAATCATGCCAAGCGTCCAATACATGTCAACTGGTGAGTCTAATCTTCTTTCACAAATGCGCTGATATTATTTATACCATTTCTACACTAATGCAGTAGTCTGCATAACAGTACATCTTTTATTTTTTGTGAGAATAAAAATTCAAAGTGGAAAGCAAAAGAAATGCAAGAGAGGCCTGAGGACGTGACTAACGAACAGAGAACTTGTTATTTTAGTGCCAGGAATGTCTGTCTTGTTTATTCTGGACCCTGTTTGGAAATTGGCATCTTCTGAAATTTGTGTGAAATTGGCAAAATTGCCAATTTCTAACCACTTTATTAGATAGTTGAAATCAGTAAATGGGTGGTCTCTTGTACTCATTCGATAGAAAAAAATGGAGTTCTAGCGAAATAGGTATGATTTTTGTCGACTAGTACACAGGAATTGGCTGAAAATAGGGCTCAAAGTTGGCGAAATCGCCGATGCATGAACATCGTCGAGACCGCTAACTTTGCGAGAGCATAATTCCGTAAGTTTTCCATCAAATTTCATACTTTTGGTGTTATTATGATCTGGGGAAAAATTCTCTATCATTTCATAAAAAAAAAATTTCTGATAAATTTTCGACCCTGAGAACGAGTTTAGGAGAGGGCCTCTCAGCTCTGAAAGGGTTAATAAGGCAAGAGGAGAAAAGGAAGTATCAGGGAAAGTGGACACAAAAAGCAGATGTAGAAAAACTGTTCCTGCTTTTAACCCTTTCAGGGTCAACAGGCCCTCTCAGAGACTTGTTCTCAGGGTCAGCCAAATTTCAAAGAAAAAAAAATTATTTTTTCTTATGAAAAGATAGAGAATCTTTTCCCGATCATAATGACACCAAAAGTATGAAATTTGATGGAAAACTTACGGAATTATGCTCTCGTGAAGTTAGCGGTCACGGCGATGTTTATGCATCGGCGATATTGCCCACTTTGAGCCCTATTTTCGGCCAATTCCAGTGTACTTGTCGACAAAAATCATAACTATTTCGCTAGAACTCCATTTTTTCTATCGAAGGAGTACAAGAAACCACCCATTTACCGATTTCAACAATCCAATACAGTGGTCAGAATTTAGCAATTTTGCCAATTTCACACAAATTTCAAAAGATGCCAATTTCCGAATAGGGTCCAGAATAAACAAAAAAGACATTCCTGGCACTAAAATAACATTTCCTCTGTTCATTACTCACGTCCCCACGCCCCTCTTACATTCTTTTGCTTTCCACTTTGAATTTTTATTCTCACAAAAAAAATAGAAGATTTACTGTTATACAAACTACTGCACTAGTGTAGAAATGGTATAAATAATATCAGCGCACTTGTGAAAGAATATTTGACTCACCAGTTGACGTGTATTGGACGCATAGCATGATTTGTTTACTTTTGAACTTTGGTAAAAATCGAACATTTCTGCTACTTTGAGCTCAATTTCAAGGTACTTTTCTTTGTAAAACCATTCAAAATCATCTCAATTTCTGTAATATGTCTTCCATTCTATATTCAATATTCAATACACTAAACCTACTCACCATACAAAACATCCATACTTATTACTGCACCTATTACATACATAGAACACTTAACTCTGATATTAACCCTCCCCTCAAACATCTCCTTGCCAACCTCAACAGAACACATGACCATAACACAAGGCACAGATCACTCTTTGATGTTCCTCGTGTCCATCTCACACTATGCAAAAACTCAATGCACATAAAAGGCCTAAAATTCCGGAATTCATTACCGTAAACATAAAAGACACACTGCACTTTTAAAATCAAGTCTCTTCTCAAGATCACTTACTCACCCAAAACCAAATAAATACTGAATAACTAACCTTATAAATTGTATATCTTAAAGTTTCTCATATTCACATAAATGAAATAAACCAATCTAACTTACTATTTTTAAAAACTACCTAACAGAATTCTCCATACGATGAATGTACAATAATCATGCACCATATGACCTTCTTTGTAACTCACTTGTACTTTGTAATTGTTTACTTTAATGTTTTATCACTGATTTCATATGCTTGTTAATCTTAGTAATTTTAAGCCAGCCCTAATGCTAATGCATAGTATTTGTGGCTTTGGCATGCTGCTCTTATCTGTATTTTTTTTTGTACCTCTGTATGTGTGCTCAAATTGTAATAAAAATGAGACCAGGAAAACTAGAATACAACAATAAATACCATACGAAAATACAGTGCAAAGTCGCTGTTTTAATCCAAAAACACGGTCAAAGTTTTTTTTTTTTTCTCATTACGCACTGTGTGCCTCAGGATTTTTTTATACCATGCACACTGACCACATAGACCCATTCTTTCATATGGAGACCTACCAGCTTTCTCTCACTAGATTTGAGGGCGCTAGAATTTAGGCGTACTAGTACGTCAATAACCCTGGTGTGTAAGCTGTACTAGTATGGCCAAAACCCTGAAAGGGTTGATGTTGCAGTTTTATAACTGTAGTGTAAGCATGCCTTTGGCAAGACTGATGGAGTGAATGATGATGAATGTTTTTCTTTTTTGAGCCACCCTTTGGTTGGAAACACCTGATGTGTTTAATAAAAAAAAAAAAAAAATTATTACATTCATGCACAAGTGCTAATCCCTATATGGATCATACAGCTCCTGTGGAGTGGGAGGTGATTAGGATTGACACCAAGAAAGAGTATAACTACAGTTCCTTTGATCGAAACTCTTCACTGTATCAAGGCACTTCCCAGAGAGGCAGCTACTTGTATTTTATATTTATTTTCATTAACTCCACAAAGGACAAAGAAATCCATTTTAATTTATTGAATGATTTTTTTTTTTGTCACAGTTGGCAATGGACATCCCTCGAAACAGAAAGGAAGGAGAACATGTTATGAAGGCACAGGAGACAGCAATGACAGCTCTCCAACATGGATACAAACTAACAGCCAACCAGAAGAACCTCTTGGCACGCATGGACCCCAAAGCAAAGAAAGCAGTGGAAGAGAGAGTCACCAAGGTACAATTCTACTCGTACTCATAATCACAACTGGGTATAGTCACAATACCCAGTTGTGACTTCACAATGGTCCAAAATAGACCAAAATGTTGTCATAAGGTTCCTCTCCTAATATCGGGTTTTTGTGAATGTATGGCACAATTCATACTGACAGATTTTTAAGACATTTTTCTTTCCATCGGTCTTTGGCATTGTTTCATTTGTCTGGTTTATTATGAATATCTGTCAGTGACAGATGATTTAGCCTTTTAAGTATTTATAACATGCTGAATACGTATATTGTACATTATCCATAACTATTGTTTGACAATTAGATATCCTGTTTTTGTTATTGTTGTTGCCGTCATCGTCACATGAACTTGGTTATTTTTAGCATTTTCTTCAAATACTTTTGAGGTTGTCTCTAACATCTTGGTTTGTGGGTCTGCCTGTCTCTGCCATATTGAGCCCTGCTGGCTTTGTAGATGTCCCATCCACCTAATAAACTAAACTGATAACTAATGGGCTTGTGGGATGACTGTTGCTGACAGCTTAGGCAGTTACCAGGGAAGTCTGGCCCAGGCCAGGCTGCTACAGTAGATAAACTCTCAAGTAAACTCGTATTATGCTTGTATAAATCCAATCAGTGTGGGATGGTGGTAGCTAGTGAGGAGGAAAAAGTTACCAGCAGTGATTTCAAGAGTGGCAGCCACTTTAGGTGGCAAGTGGTTCACAATTCAGGAAGAAGGATGATAGAGAAGATGTGAAGGTAGGAAATCGAGTCTCTGTTCTCCATGACGAGTGTACTTCAGTGGTTAGTGAGATTAGAGGTACCACTGACTTCCCTGCTTATCAAGGTAAGAATATTCTAATTGTGAGAGATTCTCAGGTAAGATATGTGGACCGTGCTTTTTGTAACAGAGATAGAAAGGTCAGGCAGAGGGTGTGTCTCCCAGGAGCTGGTGTTGGTGACATAGTCAGCAGGTTGGATAATATTATGTCAGGCAATGGGAACAAGCCCATTATCTGTCTTACTGCTGGTGGAAATGACATCGGGAATAGTAGGAGACAGGAGCTGCTGGATAAGTATAGGTCAGCCATAGATGTAGTCAGGTCTAAGGGAGGGATCCCAATCATATGTAGCATCTTGCCTAGAAGGGGGAGTGGGCAATGAATGGATATCTAGGGCAATTGGTATAAATTACTGGCTAGACAGGTGCTGCAAAGAACTTGCAATACCATTCATTGATAACTGGGACAGATTCTGTGGCAAGCATGATACGTATGCAAGGGATGGGGTTCATCTCTCTGGGGATGGAGTGGTTGCATTAGCCAATTCGATTGAGGGGGTCATTGATGACTTGTCTAGGACTTTAAACTGATAGATTATAGAGGTATGGGTGTCTGTGAGAAACAATCAGGCTGCAGTACTAGGGTTGAAAATGGCAGATATAACCAGGATACCTCAGGGATATGTTTAAAAGACAATATTCAAAATAAAGTTGCTAGAAATGACAAATCAGTTGATCAAAAAACAAAGAGAGATAGTAGAGGGCAACAAGTGACTAGCTCCCTTAAGGTTTACTATACAAATAGTAGGAGTCTAAGAAATAAGATAGATGAGCTAAGATTACTTGCAAGTGCAGGTAATATAGATAATATTGCTATAACAGAGACCTGGCTCAACTTGAAAGATAGAGAAATGCCCTCTGAATGCAACATACAAGGTTATAAACTATTCCATACTGATAGGGTCAACAGGAAGGGTGGTGGAGTGGCAATGTATGTCAGAGATAATTTAAACTGTTGTGTTAGACAAGATATAAGATTAGAAACATCAGACACAGAATCTGTTTGGCTACAGTTTCTCGAGGGTCGTGAAAAGTTAATTTTGGGTGTGATTTATAGGCCCCTAAACCTTGATAGAGAGTGCAGTAAGCTGCTATGGGACAAAATTCATAAGGCATCTAGATATGAAAATGCTGTGTTAATGGGAGATTTTAACTTTAGACGAATTGATTGGAACAATGTGACAGGAAATCTTGATTCTAGTGACTTTCTTGATACAGTTCAGGATTGCTTTTTAACCCTTAAACAGTCCAAATAGATCGACGTTCAAATCCATAGTGCTCCAAAAGTAGATCTATGTTTTTTTTACACATTTTCAAATGTAAAAAAAAAAAGATGTACATTTTTTTACTTACTTTCAAATGTTGAAAAAACGTATATGTACGTTTGGACCGTTTACGGGTTAAAACAGCTTGTGACAGAACCAACTAGAGGAAACAATCTGCTTGATTTGGTTCTTGCCAACAAAGAATCACTAGTTAATAATCTTGAGGTTAATGATAAGCTTGGGGAAAGTGATCACAAATCACATAGTTTCAGTATATAATGGAATTACCCAAATAACTGCAATCAAATCTCTGTCCCAGACTTTCGTTTGGCTGATTTCATGGGACTGAAAAATTACCTGGGTGGGCTGAATTGGGATGTCCTGAATTTGGGTCAGGTAGGTGATCTTGGTTGCCACTATGATGTTTTTCAGAGCATAGTTCTAGCTGTCCAGACAACTTTTGTTCCATATAGGGAAATTAGCTCTAACAAAAATGATCCCAAATGGATGAACAATAGATTAAAACATCTCATTGGTCAAAAGAGAGGCATATATAGGCATATCAAAAGAGGGGATGGGCAGTTAAGAAATCAATATATTCAATTAAAGAGAGAAATAAAAAAAGGAATAAGAAAAGCAAAAAGGGATTATGAGGCTAAGGTTGCAAGGGATTTGAAGACTAACCCAAAAGGGTTCTTTCAGGTATACAAAAGTAAGATTAGGGACAAGATAGGCCCACTTAAGAGTAGCTCAGGTCAGATCACTGACAGTGATAAGGAAATGTGTGAAATTTTCAATTCTTACTTCCTCTCAGTTTTTACTTGGGAAGATACTAGCAAAATTCCAGAAATAATAGATTATGTAGAACAGGATGATGATAAACTATGCACAATTGCGGTAACTAGTGACATGGTCCTCAGACAAATAGAGAAATTTAAAGCTAACAAATCCCCAGGCCCTGATGAACTGTTTACAAGGGTGTTAAAGGAATGCAAAGAGGAACTTAGCATACCTTTGGGTAATCTTTTCAATTTATTACTACAAACTGGCATAGTGCCTGACAAGTGGAAAATGGCAAATGTAATACCTATTTACAAGGCATGGTCCTTGGGTTCGAACTATAGACCAATAAGCCTTACCTCCATAGTGGGAAAATTTATGGAATCTGTAATTGCCGAAGCAATTAATAGCCATCTCAAAAGGCATGAATTGATTAATGAATCTCAGCACTGTTTTACAAAGGGACGTTCTTGTCTTACGAATTTACTAACTTTCTTCACTAAGGTATTTGAGGAGGTAGATCATGCTATTGAATTTGATATTGTGTATATGGACTTCAGTAAGGGTTTCGATAAAGTTCCACATCAGAGGCTTTTGAGGAAACTTAAGGCACATGGAATAGGAGGAAAATTTTTTCCTGGGTTGAGGCATGGTTAACGAATAGGCAGCAGAGAGTTTACATAAATGGGGAGAAATCAGAATGGGGGCATGTCACAAGCGGTGTTCCACAGGGGTCAGTGTTGGGTCCCTAGTTGTTCACAATTTACATAAACGACATAGATGAGGAAATAAATAGCGACATAAGCAAATTTGCTGATGACACCAAAATAGGCCGTCCAATTCATTCTAATGAGGATGTTAGAGCACTCCAGGATGATTTAAATAGACTGATGCAGTGGTCAGAGAAGTGGCAGATTCAGTTTAATATAGACAAATGCAAAGTTATAAATGTTGGACAGGAAAATAACCATGCCACATATAAACTAAATAATGTAGATCTTAATATTATAGATTGTGATAAGGATTTAGGAGTTCTGGTTAGTAGTAATCTAAAACCAAGACAACAGTGCATTAGTATTTGCAATAAAGCTAACAGAATCCTTGGCTTCATAGCAAGAAGTATAAATAATAGGAGTCCTCAAGTTGTTCTTCAACTCTATATATCTTTGGTTAGGCCTCATTTAGATTATGCTGTGCAGTTTTGGCCACTGTATTACAGAATGGATATAAATGCACTGGAAAACGTACAAAGTAGGATGACAAAGTAGATCCCATGTATCAGAAATCTTCCCTATGAAGATAGACTGAGGGCCCTGAACCTGCACTCTCCAGAAAGGCGTAGAATTAGGGGGGGATATGATTGAGGTGTATAAATGGAAAACAGGAATTAATAGAGGGGATGTAAATAGTGTGCTAAAAATATCTAACATAGACAAGACTCGCAGCAGTGGCTTTAAATTGGAAAAATTCAGATTCAGGAAGGATATAGGAAAGCACTGGTTTAGTAATAGAGTTGTGGATGAGTGGAACAAGCTCCTGAGTACTGTCATAGATACTAAGACATTGTGTAGTTTTAAAAATAGGCTGGATAAATACATGAGTGGGTGTGAGTTGGACCTGACTAGCTTGTGCTATTAGGTTGGATGCACTGCTCCTCCCTTAATTGACATGTCTGACCTCACTAGGTCAAGGCATTGGCTTAAGCCAGTACGAGAATTGGAGCTGCCTCACATAGGCCAGTAGGCCTGTTGCAGTGTTCCTTCTTTCTTATGTTCTTATGTCATCTTGAGGTGATCCTAGGCTCACTGTCCATCTTACCTTCTGTTGCATTGATCTCTGCAACCTTAGCACAGGATGACAGCTTTGGATCCAGTGGATGATCCTGGGACACCTCACAATCCTTTCTATCTTGCCTTGCATATAAATTTTATATAAATTGTAGCTTTCTTACAGGTGACTGGGATTCTGAGAAAGGCCTTCAGCCTTCTCCGATCTTTTTGATGTGTTAGATTTCCTGTGTACTGACTGCAACACACTCCACAGCTGGCCTGTCAGTTGCAGGCCCAACACAGTTCTGTTAAAATGCATCCTGTCTTGTTGGCTGAACTTCAGCTACTTTATAATC